AAGATAAACTGGAGTGTATACACACACGTTTTCATTCTGAATGTTCTCTTTTTTTTCCCACCCAGCCTTTCTTCACGGAACGGGTATTTCAAATATTCGACAAGGACGATTCTGGTACGATATCACTCCAGGAGTTTCTAGATGCGATGCATCAATTTGCTGGTAAAACTCCGGACGACAAAATACGATTTCTCTTCAAGGTCTACGATATAGACGGTAAGGGGAATTTTATATCACCTGGGTATATCGACGATGCTCTTATGCGGTACAGGCGGGGTTATCGATGGTAATGCATTTAATGTTTATATTTATCAATGCTGACTTCACTTGTTACGACAGATCGTTGGTGAGGAGGAGTTGAATGTGTTTCAAATGTTGATTGAGGGGAATTGATTGCATCGAAATTTTCGCGTTGCATTTTACGTCGTGTCTACTTCTGTGAGGACGGGATACGATTGCTTTCCCAGTGTATTAGCAGGAATTGCTTATTTACTATTTCACTTGGGGATTATCCTAAAAAATGCCAATGCGTTGAAAACACTTACTGCATGTACTCGAACATTATATACGACATTTTATTAGTTTGCAATCCGTTTTTTCAGGTAGAAATGTTCAACACAGAATATTTTATTTAAAAAATTAATAGGCTTTGATCTTTTAATAAAAGTCGTTCGGTTGAGATTATTTCGATCGAAATTCTGCAGCTCAAATTCTAAGCTTCTTCCTGTTTTAAAAATTAAAATAGCGGTGGAAAAAATGGGAAAATTAATTCATTAGAATAGCTATATTAAATATATCAGTAAAATAAGTTGTGGAGAGTGATTGAAATTGATCAATTTTCCGTAGAAAATCTTTTCTATTGAACGTTTCACTTAGAAAGTGTGCGCAGAAAAGTTGCAGACATTTTAAGTGATTTTTACTGTGAATTATTCAATTATACGCGGAGAGAAATGTACGAGAAAAATTACCGTGCTCGCGCAGTAACCCGGGTAGAAACACGCCGCTCGAGCTCGGCTCGGAACCCGTATCCCAGCTAGAAATACGCCACGCCGCCCTAGCTTGGGATAAACTCCACGCACGTCACATGTACCCGAGGTTGAGCCGCGTCACGCGCTCACAGCCCAGCGTTAGACTATTACGCGAAACGCCGGCCTTTAGTTGAATGGCCACTGCTCAACCTCAGGTTCATTTCCAATTACTCAATCCCAGTATACTTAACCTCAATAATGATTTGACAGGTCCGATGGCATCGTGATTTGAGCGAAAAAACAATCGAATAAATGTGAAGATGGCATGCTTTTTCAGATGAACAATCACAAGCTCATCAGAAATAACGTGATATTAACTAATCGAATGGCATTAAGCTGAAAATACAAGATTGAACAATTCACTGAAACGTAGTCAACACTTTCTTTTTTCTCGCGAATACAACAAACAAAATCAAGAAAAATAATCACTTGAAAAACGTTAACGAACCTTTATTATTAATTATCAACGCTACAGGAGAGGATATTCTTCATTTTTCGATAGGCCTACGAGTTCTAAGAATATTCTACGATTTATTAGGGAAATGTTGAATACAGGTATGCCAAAATAACACGCATGAAAAAATTCAACAGAAAAACCTAGCGCTTTCTATTAAATTTCTATTGGAATTCTATGAGAATTCTCTGGAAGTTCTATTAGAATTCTACGAAATTCTTGCGCCGATTCTATAGGCGAGTATGCAACTTCATAGAGTCTTTTTGTTAAGGTAAAATTTGGTGCAAGAAAGTAAATAGGTTTTTATGTTCCTATAGATTTTCTTAGGCGTAAGATTTCTAAGTTTTTTCCGCTCGGTTTTTCTTCTTTTCTTTTAATCAAATGCAGGAACAAAACTTGGAAAATTCATGCCCAATAGTTTCTGTGGAAGAAATCCTAACAGAATAAATTATCTAGAAAAATCAATGGATTTTTTTCTACAAACAAATATCTATTAAAAATGCAGGGGAAAGTTGCATAATTTTCAATGGAATTGACGCAAAAAAAATAGAATTTTTCAATAGAATTGCAATAAAACTTAAATAGAATTCTCATAGAGCTCCAATAGAAATTCAATAGGAATTCTTAGAGAAAGTGCCAGGTTTTATATTCGATGACAGAGGGAAAAATCAGTAAATTTCAAATTTTATAGAAAGTTCAGTGGAATTCCTTTTTTTTTTATAGTAAGAAGAAAAGGATTTTCCAAAGTATTCAAATTGTAAATCGATATTCTAAAAATGCATAAATATCATTCTATTCCACCCTCCACTCGAAACGACATGCCTCAATCGGAGCTGAGTTCTAAGCGTTGACCCACAGCTCCAACTCAAGTGCCGGGTTATGCCGTCTGATGAGCGTTCGACTGTGAGCCCGTATGGAGCGGCGTGTCGCGGCGTGAACTCGGGTCAAGCGGCAAGCCGAGGCTGAGCTCGCGCTTACCCGAGTTGCGGCTGAATCCCCGGTTAAATTTCTACCCGGGAAAGTGGGTTCAAATGGTCTTTTCAGGTGAAATGTACCGCAAAGAGTAGGAAAAAGTACTATTGCACGATTCATTTTTCGGATAAATGCGGGGAAATATTCTTGTGCAGCACGGTAAAATCGAAGCGACAGTGAATTTTTACGAGAAATACGAGAAAAATTATGACACTGGCTGGCAAATTTTTCCGGTGCTCTACCAGAATCTTAGGACCCGATCGCGCATTCGTAAGATTTCGGCACTCTTCGTCCCCCCTCCGCACCGCGAACAACAACTCGACGTGATCAGATGATTTATTCCGTCGCCTCCTCTAGCCTCCTCTCTCAGCTCCGTGAAGTGGGCACCCCACTTGGTTGGATTTGAACCAAAATTTCATAATTGATAGATTTTGAGCTACTCGTGATAGTAGTAACGTTTTTCTTGTTTGTAGTTTGAAATTTAGCGTCCAATTCGTTTTTGAAATACAGTTAGGAACTATTTCATAGTTAGAGCTGGAGTGACATTGGATTCTCGTCTGCAATCGTTTGTAGTTGATTGTAGTTCTGAAAATTTCACGATCGGAATCGTAATAAACGTTCAATCGATTTTTTTTCAACAGTTAGGAACTATTTCATGTTTGTATTTGAAATGACGTGGAATTCTTATCTGCAATCGTTTGCAATTGATTGTAGTTTTGGAATTTCCGCGATCGGAAATCAAATGAGCGTCCAATCGATTTTTGGAGACCAAGTAGGAACTGATTGAAAGCTATAGCCAGAATGAGCTCGGATTCATGTATAAAATCGTTTGTAGTTGTTTGTAGTGCTCACAAATTTCCAATGCACTGAGAAAACGGGGTGGCAGACAGTTGAAATATGTAGAAGGATTTGTTTGCAGTTGTTTAGAACAGTCAAAAAAATCGAAAAAATGAAGAACCTTATAAACCAACGTTCATACTTGATTGTTGTTTCGGAATTTTTCCAATGCGAACTGAAATGAGCGTTCAATCCGTTTTTGAAATATAGTTAGGAACGATTTTATCATTAAAGTTGGAGTGACATGGGATTCACATCTGCAATCGTTTGTAGTTGATTGTAGTTCTGGATATTTCACGATCGGAATCGTAATAAACTTGAAATTTGAAATGACGTGAGATTCTTATCTGCAGTCGTTTGTAGTTGATTGTAGTTTTGGAATTTTCGCAATCGGAAATCAAATGAGCGTTCAATCGATTTTTGGAGACAACGTAGGAACTGATTGAAAACTATAGCCAGAATGAGCTCGGATTCCTGTCTAAAATTGTTTGTAGTTGTTTGGAGTACTCACAGATTTCTAATGCACCGAGAAAAAACGGTGGCCGGGAGTTGAGATATGTAGAAGGATTTGTTCATAGTTGTTTCTAACAGTGAAAAAAAACGGTAAAAAAGACCCCCCTAGACGAATGTTTATAATTAATTGTATTTTTGGAATTTTTCCAATCCAAACTCAAATGAGCATCTAATCGATTTTTGGAGCCCAATCAGGAACTTGCTGACAGCTATAGCCAAAATGAGCTCGGATCCCTGTCTAAAATGGTTTGTAGTTGTTTGTAGTACTCACAGATTTTCAATCCACCGAGAAAAA